CCATGACAATGCTATGACGTCATGATCTTGGTGACGTCACAGTGCTATGACATCGCTGCACTGCAAGTCTAATAGCAGAACCCTGTTCAGAGATGTACATTTTTCATTGAAAACTAATGAAGATAAATAGAATCTCACTCTCGTGTATTCTGAAATGAAATATATCAACACTCATTGATAAAAGTGAAAATGTCCTCGGCAAGCCTCGGATATTTGTAACTTTATCAACTCGTGGTGATAGATTTGATATCAAAAGACACTCGATGATATTCTCTGAATATATATATGGAATTACAGCATGCTGCTTTGTAGATGACTCTGTCGTCATCTGTAACATGGCGTCACAATCCAATAACATCAAAGAGCCCTATGCCACTGACGCTGTCGAGATAGATAGATAGATAGATGGATAGATATAGTCCGAAATAGTGGAAATATTTTATAGTGTGAGTGAGTGAGTTGAAAATATAACGACACATCGGCAATATTTCAGCCACATCGTGACCGAAAATATTTTATGACGTTTTCCCGGTTGAAAACAGTCACCGAGAGTACAGATAAAAACTTGCGGCAAAAACACACAACACAAACAAAGCAAACAAATGAAACATATTAACCCCCCAAAAAACAACAATAACAAACAAATAAAACAACAACAACAACAACAAAACAAACAAAAACAAAACTAGATAACTACATAATTAAATAAAACCCAATACAAAGAAGAAAAAAACCCAAAAGTTAATGTTTACCTACCTCAAATCAAACATCTTGTGGGAACGATCGAAGTCGACGAAGACCATAGATCTATATATTGGGATATGTTCGATCTCATGTACAGTCAATGACAATCATGCTAGGTGAGGTTAAGACTATATTTCAGTAGTTTTACGTTTATGTTGTATGTAAACCACTGTCTTCATCCTTTGCTCTCGATTCTATTGATTTTATTGAATAACATAACATAACATTGTGTTTACTTCCGCGTTCGGAAGATTGACAGTGTTGAGCTTTGTCTGGATGATTCAGGCTCTTTGTAATATGGTCTCGGATTGTACGTTGTGGCACTCAGGCTACAGCAATTATCTCCCTTCTCAATATTGAGCTGTTTTCGTCAATATTACTTTTACACTTACTATTTATCATTTAGGACATTTGATATCAAGTTAAAGTAGATTAAATATGTCGCAGAAATTCGTTCAACGATTCCCATTTTACAAGAGGATGCTCAAGAACAATTGGTGACAATCTAATTCATAAAATTCATCAACTTTCGAACATGGGGATGTAGCTCAGTGGTAGAGCGTTCGCTTCGCATGTGAAAGGCCCCGGGTTCGATCCCCGGCATCTCCACCACTTTTTTTAATTTCTTTGAAAGTAATGAATTGTCAACATATTCTTCTATCAAAACCACTATGAAAATTGAAACAAATTTCTATTTCAAAAGATTTTACAATTTTCCTCTTTTTTTTTCTTTCTACATAGTTTTTAAAGTGAAATTTGGTGTACATAAAACAGTCATCACCTAATACTGACTGACATTATATGAAACTGATATTAAAAATGTATGATTTTCATTAATGACAGTTTTTGCATACATCATTCAAAGAAAGTTTTGAAGATTCAACCCATAATTCATTTCAACTTAAATAATTTTTTTATCAAAACCTTTACTTCCTTGGCTGATCTGAAATTATGAAGGTAAAATCTGAAGCTGTTGAGAATACTCTGTGACAATTAATACAATACATTTCAAATGCATTTACCATTCCTACCTTCTTCAAGCAGAGTTAAATCCAAAAAGAATACTGTTACTGTGTGAGCTAGCATAATATGTTTTCTCTTCCTACAAAAATTTCCCTTAATGGCAGCAAACATTAAGCATGGAAACATTCTCTTTGCCTGTTATTTCTGTCACAATTCATCATGAAGGCTTTGCTGCATTTTTTTGTGGTGCTTATTAGAAACAGTTCCTAATTCCAGTTTTAGGTCATCGTCGGTTTGGCGCCACTGCGTCAACAAACTACTGTTTGAACCTCCTAGGTTACATTCCATTATAAACAAACCAATCTAATGTTCAGATGTTTCAAATGATTCCCATTAAAACTACATTATTTGAAATATACACACTAGCTTGATCGTTTGACTGAGAATTTCGACATGTTGCTTTAATTAAAATACATGTGAGGATTCTAGTCGTACTTTAATAGGTTGAATTTCAAGGAGACCTTTGACACAAGGTTATAAAAAATGCAGTTAAGTGCACTTGTCTTCAAAGAGAGATATGCTTTCCATATTTGACAAGACTTTTTATATGTTTAGAAGTTTCTTTTAAGAAACAGAAAATGCCTGTTCAAGCTTGCATGTAATTACTTTCACAATGTGACTCATAGATGTTGTAATATGTGGAAGGCACTGACCATTATTCTTCCCATATGTCTTACAAACAAGGAGGACCCAAGACGATCCAAGTTAAAACTGGTCTTCAGCAAACCATGAGGCAAGAGATCAAGTGTTGAGGCGTGGCAATCCCAATTACATAGCTCAATGCCCATCATCAATCACTTGATTGTCAAGTCTATATTTGATTACAGATTACAGCCAATCATAAAGGTGGAATATCATGGGGAGAAGCATTAAACAAAGAAACAAAGAAACTAAAATCAACAAAACAGGTGAGTGAGTGAGTAAGTTTAGTTTTACAACACACTCAGCAATATTCCAGCTATATGGTGGCTGTCTATAAACAGACAAGCCAGTGATCAACAGCATGAGCATCAATAAGCGTAATTGGGATGTGATGACATGTGTTAACCAAGTCAGCGAGCCTGACCACCCAATCCTTTAGTTGTCTCTCACGACAAGCATGGGTTACTTAAGATCACTTCTAACCCGGATCTTCACGAATTCACTTAACATGATCATTGGTTATTGATACAATAATGGCTTGTTAACCCTTTAATTACAATTACCACACTCCTCATGGTTAACAGTAAAACCCAAGAGCATGGCAAAACAGATTTACTCATAACAAATTCTTACTTTCACTGTCAGAATGGCTCAAGTTCTTCATCATTACACACTTAAAATATTTACACACACCAGTGTTTCAATATTATTCAGAGTTTCAGGCCAATCTTTTGGTTTGGTTGTTTGATTGTTGTTTAATGCCGCACTCAGCAATATTCTAGCTATATGGCGGCCAATATTTTGATTAATGATCAATAATGCATACTCTCAGTCCGGAAGGATATACATATTCATGTAACTCCAGAATTTACATATCTGCCCTACTCAGGGTGCCGTTGTACAAAACAACCTTAGCGCTAAGACTACCTTAGTCTATGTTAAGGAATGGGCGCTATAATCGCTTTGTACAACAGCACCCAGGTTCTTTTCAAGAAATCCTGTCAAATGTTAAAACCTGTTGCAGGCAGATTCATATCAACTTATTCTCAAGGAAGTGCAAACCTTGGTGCCTCCATTTGTCACATGGCATCTACATGTCACATAGCGTCTACATATGTACAATTAAACAATAAGTTTCTTATAATATACATTTACTCCATAAATTTATTGGTTTGGTTGTATTTTGTTACCGCTTTAGCTCAATAGTTTTATAAATTGACCCCAAGCAGTCTGTAACTTTGTTTCATGTACATTCATGTGTCGCCTTGATCTTCTAATTAGTTCTTAAAACAAGAAAACATAGAATATACATAGTATATGATGCATTTAATCAATCATCATATAAGAGAATATTTTTGGGTAGCACTTTCTATTTGTGTGTTAGATACAAGTCTAAAGAGCTGAACAGAATTCAAACCTTGCTCATTGTGTCCTTGTAACCTTGAGGCTTAAAACATTATATCCTTGAGGCTTAAAACATTGTATCCTTGAGGCTTAAAAATGTTTTATATCCTTGAGGCTTAAAACATTATATCCTTGAGGCTTAAAAATGTTCCTTGAGGCTTAAAAATGTTTTATATCCTTGAGGCTTAAAACATTGTATCCTTGAGGCTTAAAACATATCCTTGAGGCTTAAAAATGTTTTATATCCTTGAGGCTTAAAACATTATATCCTTGAGGCTTAAAATGTTTTATATCCTTGAGGCTTAAAAGGCTTAAACATTATATCATTAAAATGTTTTATTCTTGAGGCTTAAAACATTGTATCCTTGAGGCTTAAAAATCATTGTATTCTTGAGGCTTAAAACATTGTATCCTTGGGGCTTAAAACATTGTATCCTTGAGGCTTAAAACATTGTATTCTTGAGGCTTAAAACATTGTATCCTTGGGCTTAAAACATTGTATCCTTGAGGCTTAACATTGTATCCTTGAGGCTTAAAACATTGTATCCTTGAGGCTTAAAACATTGTATCCTTGAGGCTTAACATTGTATCCTTGAGGCTTAACATTGTATCTTTGAGGCTTAAAACATTGCATCCTTGAGGCTTAAAACATTGTATCCTTGAGGCTTAACATTGTATCCTTGAGGCTTAAAACATTGTATCCTTGAGGCTTAAAATATTGTATCCTTGAGGCTTAACATTGTATCCTTGAGGCTTAAAACATTGTATCCTTGAGGCTTAAAATATTGTATCCTTGAGGCTTAAAGATGTTTTATATCCTTTAGGCTTAAAACATTGTATCCTTGAGGCTTAAAAATGTTTTAGATCCTTAAAACACTGTATCCTTGAGGCTTAAAACATTACATCCTTGAGGCTTAAAAATGTTTTATATCCTTGAGGCTTAAAACATTTATCCTTGAGTCTTAAAACATGGTTTGTGCGAGACAATGATTTACAGGTCACTACTGATAGTTGGATCATTGCTCAAGATCACTGCTGTTGCAAACAACATCTGGTTTGCCTGAGACTCAATAACAAGCCTCTAGAGACAGCTGGATCACTGCTAAATGCAGCGTAAAACACTATTCACTCTCTACTGAGAGTTCAAATTACTGAATTGTGAATAAACGGTCATTGTTTACACAGAATCAAATAAAAACGGTTTCTGTTTATTTCAATCAACATTCATACACATTTTCATCAACACATCCTATACTAAAATCAAACACACTCCAAGAAATAAACAATTCAATAATGCCCTTTTATCGTAATGTTACCATCAATTAGGGACTGTTCATAATTTATACCTAAGGGGGTGATGATGATTTTAATGGAGTCACCCATTTTATTCTGGGGAAGGGGGGTCAACAATTTTGTACACATGTACTAGAGGGGAGTAAGCAATTCTGTACATAAAAGTATGCTTAAAAATTATGGGAAAGGGGTTGTAGTGTCGTTGATTTTGTACATGACACGCAGGGTATGTGTGGGGTGTTTGGGGTGGGGTGTCACTTTGTACATAAATTTTAGGGGGTGTCATTCACGTTGAACATGCTTCTCCATAAAAAAATCATCATCACCCCCCAGCCCTAATTTATGAACTCTTAAGAAGAAACAGGTCAGTTATATGTCAGTTTTAAGCTGAATCTTTACATGTAACATCTAGGACTGACTACAGACACGCAGAAAATATACTACTGAGGTCGGCATAGTAACGATACTTGAACACGTTCTGAATCTTGAGATTATGAGATCAGCTTAATGATGCCATGAACAGCGTTATTTTGGTTATTTCATAGTGAGTATCTATTTGGGAATAATGTCATAATGTTTACTGCTTTTATTAAAACAATAAGCAGAAGTATGGTGCTGCCAAACCAAGACCAAAGACCAACAAATCCTGGCGCAACAAGGGGATAGAACTCTGCACACTAGGCCAACTGTGCTAGCATCAGTGACCCTTATGTTGGTTCCATGAGGGTATCTACAACCACACAATGACAATGACAATACTTTATTACCCGTGAGGGAATTCTTGTGTAAAGTTCAACAGTCTGCAGGTGTTTCAAAGTTTCATCTATCCTCCTTCATGATAGAGAAACCACCAGACAGTGAAAAGATTAACTCTGCTTATTGTTGCAAGTGCAGAGATGAACACTTCTCATAGATTGTTAATGATAAGATGAACACTTCTCACAATTTACAAGTGAAAAGATGAACTCTGTCTATTGTTGCAAGTGAACAGATGAAGACTTCTCACATGTTGCAAGTGAAAAGATAAACTCTCTGTTGTGACAATGCACATGGGTACTTGTGCATTATTACATCTTTAGAACAGAGAGCTGAAATAATCCACTGTTCAATGACCTTATCTACATTCAACTGTCCTCGATCAACCCGTAAACAAGGGCATATACCAAGACTGGAATATATGGTAGACATAAATATTCTTTCACACGTTACATTTGGGAAATTACAGATTATAGTTTCTTTTGTTACATTTAGTCCCATCCACAATTCAAACCCAACCTCACAGAGTCAGGCACCAATTGCCAGCACACAAGGTCAGTGATCTAACCCATTCAGCCAATGTGAGTTTCAAATGAGATCACACACTTTGTGTAAATTAGTTCTATTAGCCAAACTTCTTCAAACATTCTTGTTCCCAAGTTCTCTATTTTACACAATGTGTTGTTCCAGTACTGGCTCCTTATATATCAGTCTCTCAAAACCTAATCTACTCAAGTCAATAGTTTTGAAGTCGTTATCAATAATGAGTTCCATGACGGCTCGGCCGATGCCCGTGGCGTGCTGTACGCCATGGCCACTGAGACCATTGGCAAAGATCATGTTTCGATGATATGGGTGGTTCCCTATAATCAGGTTCTGGTCAAACGTGTTGTAGTCATAGAAACCAGCCCAGGCACTTTTTAACTGAAAAATAATGGACACAGAATGACTAAAACAAAATGATTTGGTTGGTAGACTTGTTGTTCAACATCGCACTCAGCAATATTTCAGCTCTATGGCAGCGATCATTAAATAATCGAGTCTGGACCAGACAATCTAGTGATTAACATGTCATGAGCTGCGATCTGTACAACTGGGATATGATGACATGTGTCAACCACATCAGCGAGCCTTTTGACCCGATCTTGTTAGTCGCCTCTTACAAGCATGGGTTACTGAAAACCAATTCTAACCTCGCATCTTTACGGGTTAAAAACACAAAAATGAACATCCAATTTATCATTATAGTGACAACTTGATTCATCATAATTGGAGGTAACAGTTCCTCGGTTAATTTCATGTAGGTGTCCTACCTTGAGACATTCAAACTTGGGGACCCTGCTTGCCAGTGATGGCCACACATTCTCGTGGAAGTAGTCATAGTTGACCTCGAGATCATCAGTGCATGGCTCGTTTTCCTGGAATTAGAAACACATGCTGTCTCCTGCACCTGCTTGAACCACATGGGGGTGTGTAGTGTCTTGCATTCATCCACTACCCTGCACTCACCGATCGTCCTGCCTCACCGATCAACCACCCTGCCTCACCCATCAACCATCCTGCCTCACCCATCAACAACCCTGCCTTACCCATCAACCACTGCCTGCAACCACCTGCTCACCCATCAACCACCCTGCCTCCTCACCCATCAACCACCTGCCTCACCCATCAACCACCCTGCCTCACCCATCAACCACCCTGCCTCACCCATCAACCCCTGCCTTACCCATCAACCACTCTGCCTCACCCATCAACCACCCTGCCTCACCCATCAACCACCCTGCCTTACCCATCAACCATCCTGCCTCACCCATCAACCCTGCTCTTACCCATCAACCACTCTGCCTCACCCATCAACCACCCTGCCTCACCCATCAACCACCCTGCCTCACCCATCAACCACCCTGCCTGCCCCATCAACCCCTGCCTTACCTGCCTCACCCTCACCCATCAACCACCCTGCCTCACCCATCAACCTCCCTGCCTTACCATCAACCACACCCATCAACCTCACCCATCAACCACTCTGCCTCACCCATCAACCATCCTGCCTCACCCATCAACCACCCATCAACAACTCACCCATCAACCACTCTGCCTCACCCATCAACCACCCTGCCTCCTCACCTCCTACCTCACCCATCAACCACTCTGCCTCACCCATCAACCACTCCTGCCTCACCCATCATCAACCACCCCATCAGCCACCCTGCCTCACCCATCAACCACCCTGCCTCTCACCCATCAACCACTGCCTGTCTCACCTGCCTCATCATCCTGCCTCTGTGCTCACCCATCAACCACCCTGCCTCACCCATCAATCACCCATCAACCACTCTGCCTCACCCATCAACCACTTGCCTCACCCATCAACCACCCTGCCTCACCCATCAACCACCTCTGCCTCACCCATCAACCACTCATCAACCCGCCTCACCCTGCCTCACCAATCATCCTGCCTCACCACTCTGCCTCAACAACCACCTTGCCTCACCACCCACCAACCACCCATGCCTCACCACCCATCAACCACTCTGCCTTTTACCCATCCCACCATACTGCCTCTCAACTCACCCATCAACCACCCTGCCTCACCCATCAACCACCCTGCCTCACCCATCAACCTCACCTGCCTCAACCATCCATCAACCACCCTGCCTTACCCATCAACCACCATCCCACTCTGCCTCACCCATCAACCACCCACCCACTGCCCTCACCCATCAACCACCCTGCCTCACCCATCAACCACCCTGCCTCACCCATCACCCACCACCATGTTGCCTCACCCATCAACCACCCTGCCTCACACATCAACCACTCTGCCTTCACCCATCCCTGGCTTACCCACCCACCCTGCCCTCACCCATCAACTCAACCCATCCCCCCTGTGTATACTGACCTCTGTAGGGGAGCAACCACAGATGTAATGGCCCCCGTAGCCATCCTGCCTGTAGTAGGTCAAAGAGGAGTCCACTGTCAATGGTGATGCCACCCCAGGTCCGTCAGGACAGTGGATGGCATAGACGTAGCGCTTCCTATAAGGAAAACATCTATAATTATCCAGTGTATAGTATTTCCATTCTTGTTTGAGAACACCCTGGACACCTGTGCCAGACAGGTTCATTTTGAGTCTGATATTATTGACATAATAGTTGTCTAATCAACATACTGTTCTGTCAAGAAATATATATTTGATTTGTCTTGTTGAGTATCTCCTGCTCTTAAAACTGGTTGTATGATAATTTTCATCAATTTATCAATTTAACAAATATGTTGAGAGTTACTTATACTTATTGAATGTAGATCTATGATAAACTCTTTAAGAAGACACTGCTTGTCGAGCAAAAGAAATTATGTACTGCATCCTGCAGTTGAACAGGAAGTGGCACTGTAGGTTGGTTGGTTGTTTAACGCCACTCTTAGCAATATTCAAACTATATAGCGCCGATCTATAAATAATTGAGTCTGAACCAGACAATCCAGTGATCAACAGCATCAGCATCGATCTACGCAATTGGAATATGATGGCATGTGTCAGCCAAGTCAGCGAGCCTGACCACCTGATCCCGTTAGTCGCCTCTTACAACAAGCATGGGTTACTGAAGATCAATATTCTAACCCGGACCTTCATGGGTGGCACTGTAAACAGGACCAGTACTGGTCCCTATTGAGGGTGAACAGGAAGTGGTGTTGCAACATCTCTGGGACCAGAATCTACTGCTTCAAGAGGACTAGGTACTGCAACCAGTATCATCACCTACCGGGGTTCAACAGGAAGTGGTGTTGCAACATCTCTGGGACCAGAATCTATTGCTTCAAGAGGACTAGGTACTGCAACCAGTATCATCACCTACCGGGGTTCAACAGGAAGTGGAGTTGAGAGGTCACCAGGACCAAGACCAATCATTGCCTTCCTAGCAACATCGCCTGCCCAGGCTCCAGCGCAGTTGATGACGACCGCGAACCTTGTCTCATACATCTTTCCATCTTTGCCTTTTATCTGAAAGGTTAAGGTGCCAAAAGGATTAACATCACAACAGCCTTATCCAACCAGAAATATATTTATCTGTATTGACATCAAGAAATATCAGACGCACATTTGTTCAGCTCCGACTAGGTTTATTAGATTTAAGTATTAATAAAGGAAGAAGATTGTCTATAGACAGAAATACATGTATGAGAATTTGTCCATTATGCACTTCATCTATTGAAGATGAAATTCATTTTATATTTGTATGTCCATATTATGATGATCTTAGAAGAAAATATATTTCAAGTAATTATCTATCAAAATATCCAACGATCGCCTTTGTCTCGATTTTCACTTCCAGAAATGAAACTGTTATCCGTAACCTTTCTCTATTTGTAAAACATGCTGTTGTCTTGAGAAATGATAGGTTATCTAAGCAATAACCATTATAATTGCCATTGTATTATGTACTGTAGTTATGTATATGTATGCAACTCCTTGTATATGGGCCGGAGGCCTTGAATACAATAAACTTGACTTGACTTGACTTGACATATGGAAAACATTTCAAGATATTAATCAATATGCTTGACTGCTGCCACGTGTATTGTGCATTCAGTAAAATGATGTCAATATTGAGTCAGAAACATAACTTTTAGGACAACTCCCTTTCAGAATTCCTAAGATGAAAACTGGATAGTGCAAAATGAGAGTGAAGTTAGCAATATTCCAGCAATATTACGGCAGGGAACACCAGAAATGGGCTCACACATTGTACCCATGTGGTGAATCGAACCCAGGTCTTTGGTGTGACGAGTGAATGCTTTAACCACTAGGCTACCCCGCCGCCCCAGATTGTGTAAAAGACACTAGTGATCTTTAATTTCTTGACAGTAGTATATATCTATAATTGTACATTATATTGAAATGGATAACACATAATTTATTGGTTTAACACGTTGACTGCCACCACGAGTATACTCGTAGTATCAATTCTGGCAGAATTTGCCACTACGAGTTATCTCGTGTAGCTATGTCAGTGGTATTTTAAAACAAGTTTCACATGCTGGCAAAATAGGCACAAGAAGCAATCGTCGAACATTCGTGTTAGGCAGTCAGCGTGTTAAATCTATATCTGGAATTACTTTGCAGAGCATACTGTGAACTAGCTGCTTTAAAATATAATAACTATTTGCTGTGAAGGAGTTCTCTCCCCTACAGTGTTTGTTTGTTTGTTGTTTGTTGTTTGTTTGTTGTTAACACATCACACAGCAATATTCCAGCTAAATGGCGGCAGTCGTTAAATAATCAAGTCTGGACCAGATAATCCAGTGATCAACAGTGTGAGCATCAATCTACACAATGACAAGTGTCAACCAGCAAGCCTGACCACCCATCCCATAAGTCGCCTCTCACGACAAGCATGGGTTGCTGAAGACCAATTCTAACCGGTTCTTCACAGGTTCCCAGTGGCCTCAGGTAGACATATGTGGAGGACCATGAAGATATAGGATTAAAAAACATTATAAAACAAAAACTGCCAAGCATAATGGACCAGGTATAAAATAATGACTGTGGATCCCAATGAAACATGGTAAACAACTCTCAATTCAAACTTACAACAGCAGAGTCGAGGATTTTGTGTGAGTTTGACTCAGAGCCCATCATAATTCTTTCTTCTCGGAAATCAAACTCAGTGAGCTCCCCTGTCACATAGCGGACCCCCAGACTCTGGTTCTTCTGCTTGAAGGCCTGGAGGAGACAGTAGGGGTCAAACCAGCCCTCTCCCTCCACACCTGGAACACAGGACCTTGCAGAGTGAGTGAGTGAGTGAGTGGGTGGGTGAGTGCGTGAGTGAGTGAGTGGGTTGGGTGGGTGAGTGAGTGAGTGAGTGGTTGAATGAGTGAGTGACTTGAAACACATGGCCTTGCAGAGAAGGAGGTCGAGTGAGTGAGTGAGTGGTTTGTTGAGTGTGTGGTTGAGTGGTTGAATGATTGAATGAGTGAGTGAGTGACCTGAAACACATGGCCTTGCAAAGAAGGAGGTCAAGTAAGAGGTCGAGTGAGTGAGTGTGTGAGTCTGCATTATGTCCTTACAGATAGAAAGAGCAAAATCAGCCCTCTCCCTTCAAATCTGAAACACACAGCCTTTCGGTGAGTGAATGAGTGACTTGGGTTAAATCAACTTAAATGGGCTAACAGCGATTCAAAAATCACAGTCTCAGGTGTCTCATGTGTCCGAGGAATGAGTGCACAGTGAATTTTAGTGCCTTAGGGAAAGAGAGGGGATGATGATTTTAAGGGGGGGGTCACCCATTTTGTTCTGGAGAGGGAGGGGGGTGTCACCAAATTTGTACACATGTACTAGGGGGTCACCAATTTTGTACACAAAAATAAGAAGAAACATGATTATAAATTACGGGAGGGGTGTGTGTGTGTGTGTTAAATTGATTTTGTACATAAACTTTAGGGGGGTCATTCATATTGTACATGCCTTTCCATGAAAATCATTATCATCCCCCCTAGCCATAAATTATGAACGGTCCCTTAGATGACTTCACTACCTGTGCTCCAACTTGCCCCTCTCACTCCCCAAAAAATCATAACAGACTACAACAAATTCTGAAATGTGAGTTATCTCCCTTGCATCATGGCTGCCTATTTCAGTGGCATCCATACATTTACAAACCTGGTTGTGATCAACAAAACGTTCGTAGCGCTACGTCATTCGTAAGCCTGTGATAAACAATAGAATTACTATAGGTCATGTTACGAACGCTTTGTGGACCCACACTGTAGTCATTCACAATACAAGAATTCAAGCCTGATATACTTGAATAAAGCAGGATACAGCTTGAACTCACAGGTTACTGACTGACTGAGTTTGGATTTACGCCGCTTTTAGCAATATTCCAGCAACATCACGGCGGGGGACACCAGAAATGGGCTTCACACATTGTACCCATGTGGGGATTCGAACCCGGTGTTGACGAGCCAACACTTTAACCACTAGGCTACCCGACCGCCCCCACAGGTTACTGAAGCAGGCAGAGTTGATCTGTGTTGACATGCAATGTCAGGCTCTCTAAGCAGCTCACATTAACAAGTATTTATATGTTATCTAATATCTCATCCAAAGTCAACTTAACATTCATCTAAACAGGAAGACAAACCTATTGACATCCATACCCCATAATCTTAAAGTCACCACAATATACAGGACCTACAGTTCACAAGTCACAATGTCTGACATAGCTACACAAAGACTACAACTTTCCTTGGAAGGAGAGCAAAAAACAAGTATTGGTCCGTGAAACTGAACAGCCCTTGCAAGGGAGGCAACTCTGAATATCATCTCTAAGTCATGCAATTCCTGGTGTCCCCTTGAAACTTTCTCCCTCTTTCGACCCCAAACTTATTTATCACTGACCGTAACTTCCAAGTTCAACGCCATCAAGGTTCAGCCAGGGAAACTTCTCCTTCAGCCTGCTACAGGTCAGCAGCTCAATCTTGGCCCCCAGCTCACTGGACACAGAGTAAACACAATATATAAACACATGGCAACTAGAGGTGGGTATTGCAGATAATTTTCATATTGCGATATATTGCGATGCGGAAGCATATATTGAGATATGTATTGCAATATATAGCAAGGATTATTTTTTTAACAAAAACTACTTATAATCGAGTTAATGCTTGATTATAAAGCAAAAACACAATAAAATCACTATGATGATTAACCTTTTATAAAAACTTTTAATCATGACAAAATAAAAATGCAAGTAACATTTGGCACTAATGAAACAGGGAAAAGAGCAATTCAAAAAACGGAAATATCCAAAGATTTCCGAGTGTTACGATTTTTTCCGAATGCATGTCAAAATACCGGTTTTCGATCAGCGTATCGCAATACGTATCGTTTTCATGTCTGAACCGGTAAATACCGGTAAACCGGTTATATTGCGCAGCCCTAATGGCAACCTTGACATGGAGAAAACAATCCTAGGGCAACTGCCCCAGTGAATATTGCACCCATGTTGCTTCTACATTTTCACTTACATTCATTACTCCGAGAACAGTTAGTACAACTGAAAAAACTTTCGCTTGGTATCTTAAACTATATGGTTGGTAACCATAGCAACTATAGTTTTGAGCCTAACGGATATGCTCTCATACACATGGCCCTAGTCTGGCAACTCTTACGTCTGTAGGGCGTGGTTTTTCAGACACTGTTCCACACTGTCTGGAGGTACCAGGAACAGATAGCCTTGGTGGTTGAAGGGGACACATGGAGGGTCCTGGTCTGGGGAAACATGAAAATAATTCGGTGATTTGGCGAATCAAACCGTATACCTTCTATAATTCAATTCATTATTGGTGGTCACTAGAATCGAATATTTACAAACATGTTTTTACTTGGAGGTAGTTTGTTGTTTATCCACGTGAGCTATGTGAAACGGAATACATCCAAGCCATGCAGAAGCGTAACTTGTGTTGTCTTGAGTGGGACCCTCACGTCACTCTCATTAGGCTATAAGCGGCATTGATTGCCATGTATTGCTTTTTTAAAAATAGAAAATATCATTTAAATGTATCAACTTAAGCAATTACATGACATGTTTGTTATTTTAGTTCCTAGATTTTAACCACAAATAAATAAATAAATATTCCTTTTGCTACAATATACATAAAACAGCTTGTATTCGCCACACAGTGTATTTGTTGCCAGTCTCAGTAAACTTAGACTCAGTATTATTCGTTACACTGCTATACTGAGTCTAACAAAACCTTGTGGAAGGTCGCGTCAGATAACCTTTCCAATTGACCAAACAGAACACAGCTTCTTCATGTTCCATTATGCTTGACAACGGTACAAGAATCTGTATCGAAACGTCGCACTCACGAATAAAAAGAAGTTGTTATCCATAAAATTTGTTCTATATTGTACTTCCCAACTTCTAAAATGCCACTCAAAGAAGCTTACCAAATCGCGAAAGTTGACATTCGCACATACCTTTTGAACTTTTACCTCCAGAAAAGTTTGTACCAAACGATTCTGAATGCTATTTTCAATAGCCACAGCAGTAAGTAAACAATCGCGAAAAATAGCGTTTTGTCAGTATTCAAGCATGTCAGCTTGCTGAAATACTAGCTAATGATAGCCATGTCAACAGAAACCCCAAAGTGTATATACTGCAGGTCAAATATCTGTGTTTTATGCAATTTTCATTTGTTGGGAGATCAGTGTTGGCGAACGAGGAAGAGAAAATCCATTTTGTAAGTCCCGCCGAACCCTAATAGTAGCTGTTGTCTGATTGGTTAAATCCGTTCGGACGTCTCGCATTTGATTGGATGGTCATAGGTCGCTCAAAGGTTACCAGACGTGACCTTCCACAAGGTTTTGTTACACTCAGTATAGCAGTGTAACGAATTATACTGAGGCTAAGTTTACTTAGACTGAATCTGAGCCTCCATACACTGAAGTTGACTGAGGATCTTTTGTAACTCAAACTTAACACACAAAGAAAGAACACATAGTCAAGATAAATACTCACAAACATTTAACAAGTAAACCTTGTTCTAAAATGCTAATGGCATTATTATAGGGGTGAAACGATACCCCTTTACCATGGTACGGTACATATTGCGATACAAGGCCTTCGGTTCGGACCGTTTCGGTTTCGGTATATGAGATATGATCATAATGCAAAAAATAATAGAAAAGCATAGATTTCAACAAAATGATTCGATTTCTTGCCATTTTAGAAAAGGTTTAAAAAGGTTTTTTAAAATGACGGTACGAAAACCGAAAATACTGATTTTTTGGATTGCATTACGGTATACCAAACCGAAGGCAAAATATCACAGTTCTACTAATACCGCTACACCCCTACATTATTATCAGTATATTATAAATCATTGTTAATCCATGAATTATTATTTGATAAGCATACACATCAAGACTAAACACAATATAACTAAACTCTTGGTTCAGACTTGTGGATTAAATTCTGTCAGTTTAACTTTTAGCAAAACCCCTGACAGCAGCATGAGTGACTCAATGGTTTTACGCTGATTTTAGCAATAATCAAGCAATATCACTTCACACATCATACCCATGTAGGGAATCAAACCCTCGTCTTCGTCGTGACGGGGGAATGCTTTAAGCATTAAAGTACTGTCGTAAATAGAAAAAAAACTGTATTTTCTCATTTATCTCTACAATTTATGTAGTTGATATGTGAAAGTGTGAAATATCGGTCCAAAACGACATATTTGGAATAGACCATGGCTTTGTGCAAATTAGTGTGCAACGATATTGTATTACAAAGGACACTTTTTAAATGCCCAATTTGAAATTAGACGTAGCTTCCTTATAAACGATAGCCAACATAAAAAATAATAGCTTTCATGCTGAAACTATTAAGGATTTAGCTAGCATGGAATCTCACTGTCACTATAACAAGAAAAAGATAGGAGGGGTCGTCTCAAAAGTAAAACCTGGACGGATGTCACAGACAATCCTTTGGGTCAGGCTGGGGGATAGATATATCAGCTATAGTATGACCAGAAATTATTGAGAATTTTAGGAATATGTTTAATTGGATTTCTAGTATAAACAACCTTGACCAGCTATCAAGTGCTTGGTTTCATTCAAGAGAGACAACTCTGTTAATCCTTTTTCATTAGTTTGTGAAGAGTTATCCCCCTTTGTTTACTTGCTAGCAGGCGACATTTTCAGTGATCCTCAGTATGGATGATTTAGAGAAGAGGAAGTTGATTTTAGAGTATTATAACAAGGACATCAGATCAGCTAAAGTGATTTCAAGTAGAACAGGCATCCCTTTGTCCACTGTTTATCGTGTTTTGAAAAATATTGCAAATGGATATGGCACTGAGCACCAGGGAGGCACAGGTAGGCCCAGAAAATTGACTGTCGGTGACAGGGAGGCGCTTGGTATTCTTGATTATAAAAGCAAAAACACAATAAAATCACTATGACTGATTAACCTTTTATAAAACTTTTAATCATGACAAAATAAAAATGTAGGTAACATTTGGCACTAATGAAACAGGGAAAGAGCAATTAAAAACGGAAATATCCGAAGATTTCCGAAAGTGTTACGATTTTTCCGAATGCATGTCAAAATACCGGTTTTCGATCAGCGATGTCGCAATGCATTATCATTTTTCATGTCTGAACCGGTAAATACCGTAAAACAGGTTATATTAGCAGCCCTAATGGCAACCTTGACATGGAAAAACAATCCTAGGGCAACTGCCCCAGTGAATATTGCACCCATGTTGCTTCTAAATTTTCACTTACATTCATTACTCCAGGAACAGTTAGTACAACTGAAAAAACTTTACGCTTTGGTATCATAAACTTATGGTTGGTAAACCATAGCAACTATAGTTTTGAGCCTAACGGATATGCTTTCATACACATGACCCTAGTCCGGCAACTCTTACGTCTGTAGGGCGTTTTTTCGAGACACTGTTCCACACTGTCTGGAGGTACCAGGAACAGATAGCCTTGGTGGTTGAAGGGGACACATGGAGGTCCTGGTCTGTGGAAACATGAAAATAATTCGGTGATTCTACACTTAACCGTATACCTTCTATAATTCAATTCATTATTGGTGGTCACTAGAATCTAATATTTACAAACATGCTTTTACTTGGAGGTAGTTTGTTGTTTATCCACGTGAGCTATATGAAGCGGAATACATCCAAGCCATGCAGAAGCGTAACTTGTGTTGTCTTGAAGTGGGACCCTCACGTCACTCTCATTAGGCTATAATGCGGCATTGATTGCCATGTATTGCTTTTTAAAATGGAAAATATCATTTAAATGTTTCAACTTAAGCAATTACATGACATGTTTGTTATTTTAGTTCCTAGATTTTAACCACAAATAAATAAATAAATATTCCTTTTTGCTACAATATACATAAAACAGATTGTATTCGCCACACAGTGTATTCGTTGCCAGTCTAAGTAAACTTAGACTCAGTATTATTCGTTACACTGCTATACTGAGTCTAACAAAACCTTGTGGAAGGTCGCGTCAGATAACCTTTTCAATTGACCAATCAGAACACAGCTTACCAAATCGCGAAAGTTGACATTCGCACATACCTTTTAACTTTTTACCTCCAGAGAAGTTTGTACCGAACGATTCCGAATGCTATTTTCCAAAGCCACAGCAGTAAGTAAACAGTCGCGAAAAATAGCGTTTTGTCAGTATTCAAGCATGTCAGCTTGCTGAAATATTAGCTAATGATAGCCCTGTCAACAGAAACCCCAAAGCGATATATACTGCAGGTCAAATGTCTGTGTTTTATGCAATTTTCATTTGTTGGGAGATCAGTGTTGGCTTAAGAGGAAGAGAAAATCCATTTTGTAAGTCCCTTGAACCCTAATAGTAGCTGTTGTCTGATTGGTTAAATCCGTTCGGGTGTCTTGCATTTGATTGGGCCGGTCATAGGTCACTCAAAGGTTACCTGACGCGACCTTCCACAAGGGTTTTGTTAGACTCAGTATAGCAGTGTAACGAATAATACTGGAGCCTAAGTTTACTAAGACTGGGATTCGCTGCAGCCCTAAATATCATATAACAGGGGCTACAGATAAAGGCGCATACAGAAGTAATGCGCGCCTCAAAATCAATTATTAAGTCACGACACAATATCAAATTTCAAAGCATTATCGGTAATGCGCACACAAATACCTTCGATAGTAGTCTAACATTTAATTTCCGTATGCGTGTCGTGCAAATGGAAATCTATTTCGATAAATACTTGTTAAGTTTCTTTGCGCGAAACACGATTTGACACATAAGGAAACCCCGACAATAGGAATCCCTTGGCGTTGCCATGCAAACGATATGCATCACTATTTTTCGATTGGCTAAAACTACACTGTTCCTATTTATATCCAGTCGGACCTGACATTTCGCACATCACACCGTCGCTCAGTTATTTCTCAGGCGTCTTCAAATACAAATACATGGCTGGAAATAGTGATCGATGAATCGTCCAGACAAACCACATCAACTCGCTCACACAAAAACATGTCAGTACTCCTTCAAAATTCTCAGTACACCTCCACTTGCAATATGATGTGTAAGTACACTCACACCCCCAAAAGTTATCTGGAGCCCTGTATAACCTGCGAGCAGATAGTACAGAGAAATCCTCACAGACATTCAACCACTTAACACACAAAGAAAGAACACATAGGCAAGATAAATACTCACAAACATTTAACAAGTGAACCCACTCATCCAGATAAATACTCAAAACATATGATGAATATTGAAACCAGCACCACAAAAGCACACAAAGATATTTAGCTCTACTATCATCTAACTATGTATCATGTTCATTTCATTTTAAACAAATAATGGCAAAGTATTGATAAATCTTTTCATATGGCTGCCAGACTACATATTGACATTCAGTCAGGTGATATATAAAACTGGAAATAACACTAACACACAGCAGCAAACTAGATGATTTTTTTCATTCAGTTGTTTTGGCCTTGTTCTAAAATGCTTATGGCATTATTATAGGGGTGAAATGGTACCCCTTTACCATGGTACGGTACGTATTGCGTTACAAGGCCTTCAGTTCGGTCCGTTTCGGTTTCAGTATACGAGATATGATCATAATGCAGAAAATAAAAGAAAAGCACAGATTTCAACAAAATGATTTGATTTCATGACATTTAAGAAAAGGTTTAAAAAGGTTTTTTAAAATGACGATACGAAAACCGAAAATACTGATTTTTTGGATTGCATTACGGTATACCAAACCGAAGGCAAAATACCACAGTTTTACTACTACTGCGTTATACCGCTACACCCCTACATTATTATCAGTATATTATAAATCATTGTTAATCCATGAATTATTATGTGATAAGCATACACATCAAGACTAAACACAATATGACTCTTGGTTCAGATTATGGATTAAATTCTGTCAGTTTAACTTTTAGCAAAACCCCCTGACAGCAGCATGAGTGACTCAATGATTTTACACTGATTTTAGAAATAATCAAGCAATATCACTTCACACCCCATACCCATGTGGGGAATCAAACCCTCGTCTTCGGCGTGAGGGGGGAATGCTTTAAGCATTAAAGTACTGTCGTAAATAGAAAATAAACTGTATTTTCTCATTTATCTCTACAATTTATGTAGTTGATATGTGAAAGTGTGAAATATCTGTTAAACTAAGTTCGGCCTAACTACAGTCTCAGTGGTAGGGAGCTAGGAAACGTCAAGAAAGGACTTTACTGAGGAAATGAGCAATGCAGAGTTTTTTTAAGTCGAAAACGACATATTTGGAATAGACCATGGCTTTGTGCAAATTAGTGTGCAACGATATTGTATTACAAAGGACACTTTTTAAATGCCCAATTTGAAATTAGACGTAGCTTCATTATAAACGATAGCTAACGTTAAAATAATAACTTTCATGCTGAAACTATTAAGGATGTAGCGACCATGGAATCTCAGTCACTATAACAAGAAACAGATAGGAGGGGTCGTCTCAAAAGTAAAACCTGGACAGGTGTCACAGTCGTTGGGGTCGGGCTGGGGGATAGAGATATCAGCTATAGTATGACCAGAAATTATTGAGAATTTTAGGAATATGTTTAATTGGATTTCTAGTATAATCAACCTTGACCAGCTATCAAGTGCTTGGTTTCATTCAAGAGAGGCAACTCCGTTAATCCTTTTTCATTAGTTTGTGAAGAGTTATCCCCCTTTGTTTACTTGCTAGCAGACGACATTTTCAGTGATCCTCAGTATGGATGATTTAGAGAAGAGGAAGTTGATTTTAGAGTATTATAACAAGGACATCAGATCAGCTAAAGTGATTTCAAGTAGAACAGGCATCCCTTTGTCCACTGTTTATCGTGTTTTGAAACATATTGCAAATGGATATGGCATTGAGCACCAGGGAGGCAGGTAGGCACAGAAAATTGACTGTCGTGACAGGAGGCGGCTTGGTATTCTTGTTTCTAAAAACAAACGAAGGAGTTTAGAAAACTTAAGGCTGGATATGATTGATAGAGGAACTGTGGCTGTCTGTAAGGAGACAATTAGAACTGAGCTGCATGCAATGGGTTGGCAGAAAAGTCGAGGAATTCCATCACCGATCATGAAACCTGAACAAAAGGAGCGAAGGTTGAACTGGTGCTTACAGCATAGAAATTTTAACTGGGACAATGTGATTTTCTCAGATGAAGGTTCTGTGTGGCTGTTTCCTAATACACTGAAATTCTGGACCAAACAAACTGAAAAGGTATCAGCTTCAAAGTACAGTCTGAAATTTAACAGTGGGGTGGCATACATTTGAAGAGAATATGAACAGTGAGCTTGTACACAGATATTCTCGAGGGACATTTACTTCCATCTGCTCATGTGTTCTATGGAAATTTTTGGATTTTCCAGCAGGACAAAGACCCAAAACATCGTTCAAAGCATTCACAGGCCTGGTTTCGGACCCAAAATATGACATTATTAGATTGGCCAAGCTATAGCCCTGACCTAAATCCAATAGAAAATGTTTGGGGACTTATGAAGGAAAGTGTCAATAAGAAAAATCTGACAAATATTGCTGAAATGAAAGAAGAGGTGGTCCGATATTGGGACAGCATGGACCACGACTTTCTAACTTCTTTGATCAGTAGTATGCCCCGCTGCATTGAAGCCTGCATTGCTGCCCATGTTGACTTGACAAAATACTAACTGTTCACCTGTCTTTGAATCTGAAGTTATGTGCTGCTAATATTCACATTTAATACGTGAGTAATGAGTGAAAACAATAAAAAAAAATACAATCTTTAAATTCTCAATAATTTCTGGTTGTACTGTAAGTCAAGATATTCCTTTAGGGCAATTATACTGGGGAAGTACACGGCATGTCATAACAATTTACAAATAATATCCAATCCTGTCGATCTTTGGGTGGTCATGCCACCTATATATTTGGATACATTTAATACGATGCGTTTCTATGGTTATCAGGTATCTTACTCTTTCACATATCTCAACATAAACTTTATGAAGGAAGGACATGTAAGATGTTAATCAATAGATGAGACATACCGGGTAGTCACCACACATGAAAAAGCACAAAATATCTTTGAGCTGACCCCTTGTGCCTGTAGGCAGCACATGCATTTCATGCCAGGTGAGTCGACGGTCTGTCGTCATACCTGGCTGAGCGACCGAATTGCCATCTATGGTCTGATCTATTGTTTCAGCAGCTATTCATATTTTTTCTAAGTTTTGCCCGATTTTACGAGTAAACATGCTTTTCTGGATATCCTATTATGCATCCCACTGAATGCCAAGTTAGGCCGAAGTGGGTTATTTTGACATATGCTGTTTGCAGTTGTGTAAATTTTAGGGATACAGAGTAACAACCTAAAACCATTTTTTTTCTATTTTCGACAGTACTTTAGGCTACCTGACCCACCCAGCAACAGCATGATAACCCATTGTAACAACACTGATGCTCACCGAGAACACTGAGATGTTCCTTGATGTTCCGCAGGAAATCGGTGCAGAACAGAGACAGCTGGATGTTCTCTGCCATTGAGAACTGGTGGCGGAGACCACCTGCTGACAGAGTGCTCGATGCCCGGGTATACTGTAAGAAACCACAAACACAGGTGAATGTGTTCTGCCATTCCGTGACCGATAAAACAATTTACGTGTGTTCAAGTAAAGACGTAAAGCTATTCCTGATCGTGAACACTTATTCTTGACAATTTACCGTGAGTTGAAGACTTATTCTGTATAATATGTTATTACTGAGAAAGTTTTTAGGCCGCTTTTAATAATATTCCAGCAATATCACAGAAGGAGACAACAGAAATGAGATTCACACATTGCAACAGGGGTTAAAAAATCCCATCGCCTGACGCCTTGGGACAAGTCAGTGTTCATTTCGGGCAATCAAATAATGGTATCTTACTTGTCCGTGAGCTACTAGATAATTTCCACTTATGGTTTCAAACTGCAAATAAACTTTGATTTAATTTCATATCTGCTCAAAATGTAGCTATTAAATTTCACAATGATAATAAAGTAAAGTTATCTTTCTTTGCTATTTATCACTTTTCAATAAATAGTCCAGTAAACATTAACATCAAATACCATGTTGATTTCTTCTTTCATAATTATGTCATAAAATCAGGGCAAGTGGAAACTTAGTCAGGACAAGTTACTTTCTTAAAGTCACTTGCCTTGTGGCAAGTGGCTTTTAAAAAAAAATTTGAACCCCTGTGCAACCATGTAAGGAATCAAACCCGGGTCTTAGGCATGTTGAGCGAACACTTAAACCACTAGACTATCCTACCGCCCCCTATGTTATAAATAAGATGCAAAATATGCTACATTCTTAATGTTAATGGTTAAAATATAAGTTTGTTTTGTCAAAATGAATCAGATATTCAGCATATTAGAAACATTACATATATTAATATTTTAGTTCTGTTAATATAATGAAAAAGTATGTAACCACTCAAGCTTTTCAAATCATGCTCATTTTAGTCTACCGTATCTGTCAATAAACTAAACACATAAATCATAAACTTGGTAGCCAAATACAAAGCTATATATGGGAGGTGGTTGGAGTGAGTGAGGGAATGGAAAGGATGGCTCTGGGAAGGACGAGGAGGTAGGTATAGTCAAAGGGATGTGATTGTTTAGTGGAGGGCTGTCATTGAGACATGATGCAGAGTTTATAGTAGCCGCCTACGGCCAGTGTAAAACAATATTCTTATTATTTGATTATTTTAATATTTTACAGACCTAAGTTTGAGTATTGTGTGAGTAAATTAAAACTTTAATTCGTCACAATAGTTTATAAATACTATTGATGACACAAATTGCATATGAATTATTGTAAATAATCCTTCGCATTGACGATATTCATAGATTATGAATCTTTTTTAGCCAGCCTTAATTGTTTCAGCCTTATTTATGGTACTGAACTATCCAACATGGCAGCCCTCAGTTAGTATGAAAGTCAGGGTTAGTTGGCTTTGAAATGTCCGCCAGGTCTCCAGATAATGTTCAGAACCAATGAGAATTGACTCATGTTATCAGTAAACTTGGGTTTTGAAAATGAAGCATACAATTTTAAGGATAACTTATTTTTAAATTTTTGTTCTACTTTTATGGTGTTTCAGTAATGGCTAGCATAGGCATATGTGCTTCCCTAAGGGACCGTTCATAATTCATGGCTAGGGGGTGTGATGATGATTTTTATGGAGAAGCATGTACAATGTGAATGACCCCCTTAAACTGTATGAACAAAATAAGTGACCCCACCCTGCATGTCATGTACAAAATCAATGTCCCCCCTCCCCCTCCCATAATTTCTAAACATAGTTTTAACATATTTCTATGTACAAATTGCTGACCCCCAGTACATGTGTACAAAAATGCTGACCCCTCCTAGCTCCCCAGATCAAAGTGGGTGCTCCCCCCAACTCCCCTCCCAAAAATAAATAAAATAAAATAAATAAAAAAAAAAAATAATTTAAAAAAAAAAAAATCAAATCAAATAGACATCTTATCTGGAGCTCTGCTCTTCAGCTGACAGATCAGGGTAAGAAGGTGAAAAAGTCAAACAAATATAATTTCTACGCTCATATCTTTCTCCAACACCATCAAGCTGACTCCTTTGGGATGCCTCTGCTTGATCCAGTACGCCACGGCTGATCCAATCAGCCCCCCTCCGACCACCAGAATGTCCACCTCACGGGGGACAGGCAGTTCAGTCGGGAGGGGCTGACCCTGCTTTACTGCCTGGAACTCTTCCTTCAAGATCTTCCAGGGCGAGCGGAACGACCCAGCAGGGGGCGTTTTATCTGACCCGTTGGAACAGAACTGTCGGATGCCGATGCGCAGGCCTTGACGAAACATCTTGGAACACTGCTACGTCTACAACACAAAACAGATTGGGAGAAAATGGCATCAGCCCTTAAGTCACAATATAAATTGATAATGGTTGAGGTTTCAATAATATCAGATGAATTCTCTGAACCTTTCAAACTGTCCTTTGTCTGCCAGAAGATATGTTTGTTGTGTAATGACAAACTGAGCAATATTCCAGATAGGTGGTTGGCTGTAAATAATCGAGTCAGGACCAGAAAATCCAGTGATCAATAGCATGAGCATCTATCTACAAGATTGGGAAATAATGACATGTGTCAACCATGTCAGCAAGCCTGACCCCCTGATCCCATTAGTCATCTTACGACAAGCATGGCTTACTTAAGACTAATTATAACCAAAATCTTCAGAGGTACTAGAAGTGACAAAACATAAACAAAAAAGGAAAAGGTTCTGGGATTTGTAAACATCAAGATACCCTGACACCTACTCATATTATAGGATTTTTTTTATTGTTTCTTTAGTGCTCTAACATATTGAAACAATGAAAGAAACCCTGCCATTCAGATTGAGTGCAGCTACGACCATCATGTCTTAACTGCTTCAATTTGTATTCTTCTAAAATGACAAAATTTCAAATCTGAAGTAGTATATAGAATGGGGATTCTGTGACAGGCCAACTAAGAGCGTCTTTATATGCCAATTCCGCTTCCAACCCTAAGTATAAATTAATGATTTCGAGCAGAGACACCATTCGATGCACATCCCAGACCCCTATAGGAGCCTTAAAACCTGTAGGGTACCATGAGTTTCGCAACCCCCGGCGGGAACGAGGATGACTCGGACAGCCTGCAATACATCCCCGTAGAGACTACAAGCCGCAGACGGTGCCGGATGCTAAGCAGCCACCAGTTCCCAGTCATAGAATGGGGATTCTGTGACAGGCCGACAAGGCGCCATTATATACCAATTCCGCTTGAGCAGAGACACCATTCGATGCACAGCCCAGGCCAACTAAGAGCCAGCGCCAAATTTCACCACTCAGTGGTTTATGAGCGATGTGCCCATACGCTGCAGTGAAGTCGTGGCGCTGTCGGCAGCGATCCACCGTTTGGTGTCCATGGGCGACAGCGACGTCTTGTTGAGGGTTATCGAGAGCACAAAAATGGTCAGGACTACTAGATTGGTACTACCTCCGACATGCATCTCTGCGATTTCAAGCAGAGAACATCGTTCGATGTACACCCCGACCTGGGATTCGTACCTCTATGATTTCAAGGAGAGACATCGCTTCGATGTACATCCCAGACCCCGACATGCACCTCTATGATTTCGAGCAGAGCAGTTGAGATTCGCAGGCGAGAATCGCCGTCCTATGGGGCTGGATAATGACGGTTGATTCCAATATCGATACCAGTCAAACCCCCATATAAACTCCGCGAATAGCGGATTTCAAGCAGGTTTTCCGGGCTGATAATGACATTGAGGCGAAATTTGAAAAGCATCAAGTACCAACTAACGATGAAAATGGAACTCCAAAAGCAGAATAATTGGACGGCAGTACTGAGTACGTTGCACCTTATTTCAGAGGCACCTTATTTCGAAGCCCTAACCCAACCAGAATTGATTGAATCCTCCATCGACGATCGCTGCAGAAAATACAAGAGTCGTTGGAGATATACCCATATGGGCTCTGGATGGGTGGTAGACAAAATCAACACCGCTTTATCTCGACATAGCGAACTACATGCCGCTCAAAGGTGGGTCGCGACATACCGGTGCCCAAGCATTTCAAGGCCAAAAGGCCCTCGTTAACCCCAAACCCAAGGCGCAATGATGTTAACGATTACTGTCGCGGTGGTGGCGGTCATAGCTGCTACGCGCAACCAACGAACAGTAATCCGGGCAGAAGCGTTCCAGCTATCCATCGATCGAAGAATCCGGGTTCGACTTCACGGGTGTAGAATGCTTTAACACCCATCTCCTACTGGGCGCGGCGTTAATTGAAAAGCAAAACAAGGTGGCTGTCAACGTGTTCGCCAATGGCTTACAAAACCATCGTGCATAGGATAAGCCCTGTGGGTGATAAAACCGCGTCGGGTGAACCAATATATTCCTCATCGAAAAGACGGTCAGTATCACTACACGGCAATAAAAATCTGAGCCGGCTGTTGCACGCGATCAATCGATGCACAGAGAAAAGAAACACTTCTGCGAACGATGTCTGCACGGTTTTACGCGAGCCGACCTGCTGCAAAGCGCACCAGGGGATTGCCTAGGTGTAGGAGAGACGGCGATCCGAATTGACATGCCTAAGGAAGGCGACAACATCTTGAAATTCACCAACCACAAACATCAGATGCCTGTGCCTTACATGATCTACGCAGACTTGAAGCCCTCATCAAACGGGTCGACCACGGCGCGCCCAACACTGAGCAAAGTTTTACGTGCAAGACCCAAGAACACCAAGCAAGCCTGCGGGTTCGGGTGCGTGATGGTCGATCCGATGCGATGGACAAACGCGACGCTCCAGTCATCTACCGAGGTCCTAGCGGCGGCGAGCGATTCCTTATGTGTTTGCAACAGGAAGAGAAAATCATTAGGAAAAGGCTGTACACCGCCCGCTCCCATGCGCATGGCGCCTAAGGACCAAGTCGCTCACAAGCGTGCTGAGAATTGCTATATATGCCAGGGGCCCTGAATGGGGATGTCGTTAGAGATCACTGCCACATCACCGGTCGGTACCGGGAGGTGCTGCCCATAACGCCGTGCAACCTCCAGCTTAGAATCAACCCTAAAACAATCAACATCCCGTGGTCTTCCACAATCTGAGAGAGTACGATGCCCACCTGATCATGCAGGCCATCTCGAAGGTCAACGGTGATATCAAGTGCATCCCCAACAACATGGAAAAATACATCTCCTTCTTGCTCAACGGTCTGAGATTCATTGACAGCGCTCAGTTCCTCCTGTCATCGCTCGATAGTTTGGTCAAAGCCAATGACACCTCCCCCATCACCGATCGATACACCGACGCCGAGACGCGACCCCTGCTGATGAGGAAGGGTGTGTACCCATACGAGTACATGGATGATTGGTCTAAGTTCGACGAGACCCGATTACCTCCTATCGGCCAATTTTACAGCAACCTGACCGAATCCCATATCTCCCAGGATGATTACGGCCACGCGCAGAACGTGTGGGAGAAACTGGGATGTAAGAATCTGGGTGACTACCACGATCTGTACTTGAGAACGGACGTGCTCCTGCTAGCTGACGTCTTCGAAACGTTTAGGAGGACGTGTTTGAAACAGTATCAACTCGACCCTGCATGGTACTACACCAGCCCCGGTCTCTCGTGGGATGCGCTCTTGAAGAAAACCGGAGTTAAGCTGGAATTGCTCACGGATTACGACATGCACTTGTTCATTGAGAAAGGCTTACGAGGAGGGATTTCTATGGCCGCCAAACAGTACGCAAGAGCCAACAATAAGTACGTGGAAGGCTACGACTCTAGCAAGCCCACCAATCATCTCCTTTATCTCGACGCCAACAACCTGTACGGCTGGGCTATGAGTCAGTGTCTGCCTACTGGTGGGTTTGAGTGGTTGGACGATGAGATTGATATCACGAGCATCGCGCCGGATTCGGGGAAGGGTTACATCCTCGAAGTGGATCTGGAGTATCCCGAGGCATTACATGCTACCCACAACAGCTACCCGCTGGCCCCCGAACGGTTGATGGTCTGCCGAGACTGGATGTCCGACTATCAGCGGGCCTTGTTGGGTGAGAACACCCTGGCTCGGGTGGAAAAACTTGTCCCGAACTTGATGAACAAGACTAAGTACGTCGTGCACTATCGCAACCTGCAGCTGTACCTATCATTGGGTATGAAGCTGACCAAAATTCATAGGGTGCTTAAGTTTAACAGAAGTCCTTGGATGGAGCCCTACATCAGAATGAACACAGACCTGCGAAAGCTAGCCACCAGTGACTTCGAGAAGAACTTGTATAAGCTCATGAACAACTCGGTGTTTGGTAAGACGATGGAGAACTTGAGAAAACGGGTGACGGTCAAACTCGTGCGATCGCACCAGGAGGGAAAACTCAGGAAACTGATCGCTAGCCCGGCCTTCAACCGAAGCAAGCTATTCGATAACGATTTGGCGGCTCTGCACATGAACAAAAGTCACATCAAGCTCAACCGGCCCATCTATGTGGGGATGAGCATCCTCGACCTGTCCAAACATCTCATGTATGATTTCTACTACAACCGGCTCAAGAAGCAATACGGTGATCGATCGCGGGCTGCTGTACACGGACCGCGGATTCCTTGTTGCTAGATATACGAACCGAGGGCGGTAATGCGAGGACATGGCAAAACACATACACCTGTATGACACCAGCGATTACCCCAAGGACCATGCCCTACACAGCACGACCAACAAAAGGTCCTCGGCAAGATGAAGGATGAATCGCGCGGGCACACCCATCGCCCGAATCGTCGGCTTGAGGCCTAAGATGTACTCCATCTTGAAAGCTGACAAGGGTGAGATCCGAAAGGCAAATGGGGTCAAGAAATACGTGGTGAAACAACACATCAAGCACGCCCTCTTCAAACAAGCTCTGTTCAAGAATAAGACATTCAAACACCGGATGAATGCGTTGAGAAGCGACAAACACAACATCTATGGCATCACCCTCAACAAGACGTCGCTGTCGCCCATGGACACCAAACGGTGGATAGCTGCCGACGGCGTCACGACTTACGCGTATGGGCACACGCTCATAAACCACTGAGTGGTGAAATTTGCGCTCTTAGTTGGCCTGGGCTGTGCATGGAATGGTGTCTCTGCTCGAAGCGGAATTGGTATATAATGACGCTCTTAGTCGGCCTGTCACAGAATCCCCATTCTATGACTGGGAACTGGTGGCTGCTTAGCATCCGGCACCGTCTGCGGCTTGTAGTCTACGGGGATGTATTGCAGACTGTCCAAGTCATCCTCGTTCCCGCCCGGGGTTGCCGAAACTCATGGTACCCTACAGGTTTTAAGGCTCCTATAGGGGTCTGGGATGTGCATCGAATGGTGTCTCTGCTCGAAATCATTAATTTATACTTAGGGTTGGAAGCGGAATTGGCATATAAAGACGCTCTTAGTTGGCCTGTCACAGAATCCCCATTCTATATACTACTTCTGAGAAAAAACTCTTCATTTAATATTAATATAGCTAGACTCCACACTGCAGGGACTTGCTCTGAGCACATACAACATCATTGACATTATTACCCCGGATAACCCAAGCTGTGAGTTGAATAGTCTTATCCCACCGGGTTCCCATTCTCTGCTGGGTGAACAGAGGCAATTTTGAACAAACCCACTTGCCTAACGTGTGACCACATGTGTGCTCTGTTGTTAGGGCAGCAGGGGTTGAAGTTTTTTTTTCAAAACTGGACACAGGTCCAGTAAACTTTCAAAATCAACTTGCCCAAATATTAATTTCACTTGACCACATTTAACAATTTGGTTTCCTTGCAAATTATCTTGATCAATTGGTAGCAATAGCATTTATAATTCATCATCAAAATACATATATCAAAACATTTCAGTAGTTTGGCACTACTGTACCGTGGTTAAGTTTAATGTACATATTTACTTGACTGACCGGAGAATTCCACTCGACCCGGGCGTCTGGCAATGGTATTTTTCAACCCCTGGGCAGGACACAAGTCCTAGAAACTCCCAGGAATCAAGCTGCTTAACACAGTCACTGATCCAGGGATTCTCCGACGGAGGCCCAGATAAGCTGCGTATCCGGGTAAAATACGCATAGAAAATTTCCAATTACACACTGAAAAATAATTGTTGCGTACCAATTACGCACTTAAAATGTTAGATACGCAAAACTTTTAAAACAAATGCGTACGGAATATATTTATAAAAATCACTTGCGTAATGAAAAAGACATCGATTGCTATCAAGTTGTACTTTTAGTAGAGGACAAGTGTTGTACTGTCAGTATAGGATGAGTGATATTTTATGAAATCATTTCCATTATATTTGACTTGGTTTTGATTACATATAACATAAGGCAGAACATACCTGCTTTGTAAACTTACTCAATGACGTAATACTTAGGTGAGTAAAGTGACTGAAATACGCACATATTTGAAAGCAGTAGGTAACGGAAAATGAAATACCCACTCAACATTCATAATACCCACTCCAAAAAAATACAGTGG